GCGCAATCTCAGCTCACTGCAACTGCTGAGTCCCCGGTTCAAGCGATTCTCCTGCCTCAGCCTCCAGAGTAGCTGGGATTATAGGCGTGCACCACCACACCTGGCTAATTTTTGTATTTTGAGTAGAGATGGGGTTTCATCATATTAGTTAGGATGGTCTCGAGCTCTTGACCTAGTGATCCGCCCGCCTCGGCCTCCCACAAAGTGCTGGGATTACAGGCGTGAGCCACCGCACCTGGCCCAAATCACTTATTTATTCAGGTATTTCTTGAGCAGGTGCCAGGCCAAGTTTCCCAGCCTTTCCTTCATTCACATCCATCCATCCATCCCCATCCATCCATTCATTCAAACATTCAAGTGATAATTTATTGAACATTTACATTGAGACATGCCCCGTGTGAAACACTGGAAATATGAAAATGGTCAAAACGGTCGCATGACAAGATCCAGACCTCTGAGTCCCTAATACTTTAGTCTTCTCCACTAAGACTCTCTTGTTCCTTGACAATTTCTTCCCATTAAAGGTTCACTAGGCCAAGGTTCCCAAATGGCTCGAAGCAGCGCAAGGTACTACAACCCTCATCATCATACACTGGCGCCAAGGACTGTAGAACCAGCCGTTGCGCCAAGAGTATTCTAGAAGTTGGAGTTCCTATAGCATGATGGGGCCAGATCTGAGATTCCAGGATTCCAGCCCCTTCTTTTTTTCACTTCCTCAAACCCAGGAGCACTGGTGCCCAGCTCCCGCCTCCGCTAAGATCCAGAAATCTAGCCCCCAGGTCCCCTTCTCCCCCAGACCCGGGAGTCCGAGCTTCCTCCTCCTCCAGACCCGAGTCTGAACCCCCAGATTCCTCCTCCTTCAGACCCAAAAGTCAGGGCCTCTAGCCTCCTCCTCTCTCAGACTCGAGACTGCGGCCTCGCTCCTTACCCTCCATGCACTCACACTTACCACGGTTGCCATGATGCTCACCAACTGCCAGAGTCCTAAGGGAAACGGAAATGCGCGAGGAGCAGGGCGTTCTGGTCCCTCTAGGCTAGCAGGTCCTCCAAAGATCTCTATGATTTCTCATAAATATGTAAATATAGTAGGGGCGTGACGGCACTTTGGGCCCCGCCTGCTCGCCGAGGCTACGCTGGAAGACGGGTGTTCGGAACTCCTGGGTCCATTCCCATTGCCTCTGGCTCCTCCTCCTTTTGCTCTGCCCCCCGCCCCGCTCAGGCCGATTGCAAAATTCTTAGCTGTTCTTTGAGTAACCACACGTCCTCCACGCTCCTTTCCTCTTTATCCCACCCTCCTCCTCCCCGCGACTTTGAGGCCTCCGGCTTCAGATTGACAGAGCTGAAGGCCAATCGCTTCCGTAGAGCGCGTCGGCAAGCTCCGCCTCCCGGATGGCCGAGGCGGAGCCCGGACACAGCGACCCCTAACCCGTTCCACCAATGAGGAGACGCGGAAATCCCCGCCCCCGGGCACGAGCCAATGGCGCTAGCTGGGGGGGGGGGGGTGGCCACCGCCTCCTGGCGGCCGCGAGGTTTCACTGCAGGGGCACCGCTGGGCTCAGTGACGCTGCGGCCGCCTTCTGCTTAAGTCCGAATGCACCGGGGCGGGGGTGCGGTCGTGCAATAGGAAGCTGAGCGTCTTGCAAGCTTCCCGTCGGGCACCAGCTGCTCGGCCCCGCACCCTACCTGGTGCATTCCCCGGACACCTCCGGGGTCCCTGCTTGAGGTCCCCGGAGCCCCCTTCCAGCGCCAGCCATGCCTTTAAACCGCACTTTGTCCATGTCCTCACTGCCAGGACTGGAGGACTGGGAGGATGAATTCGATCTGGAGAACACAGTGCTCTTCGAAGTGGCCTGGGAGGTGGCCAACAAGGGTGAGTACGCCAGGCATTGGAGCCCTTGATGAGAAGGGCAGTACTGGATGGGGACCCGGAACTCTGAGTTGTAGGGGGACGGGGCTACAAGGGGAACCCTTGGGTCCTGGGTAAGGAGGCTGTGACTCCTGTGTCCTTGAGGAGGGGCTGGGAGGCCGGAGGTGAGTGGGAGAGGGATGAGTCGTTTGACTTACGTTGAAAGGAGGCTGGAAGCCCGGGTTCCGGGTCCTAGGGAAGAGGGCGCTAAAATGAAAGACTCCTGGGTCCCGGAGGGAAGCTTCGGGGAGACTAGATACCTGGGTGCTGAACAGGGAAGGGGAGGGGGAGATGGGACTTGTGTGTGCAAACCTGGGAAGCTGCCGGGGTTTCAGACTGTGGCCCTAACAGCATGGTCTAGGGGATAAAACTCCAGATTTGAGAGGGAGCTGACTGGGAGATGGGAGGCCTGAGCTGCAGTGGGAGGACCTGAGGATCTGGCTGCTGAGAAGGACTGGCGACGCTAATCCGCAGATCCCCCGGTGGGGAGAGGGCTGCGGGCCTGCATGCCTGAGCTTTGAAGGAGCCGAGGGCCTGAGCTATTAGTTCCTAGTAGAGGAGCCGGGGCCTGGGACACATGCGTACTCGAATAGGGAAGGCTGGGAAGTCCTAAGTTAGGCACGGGCTGGGCCCTAGGATGGGAGTGGCTGGGAGCTTGCATTTCTGTGTCTTGGGCTCCAAAAAGCTGAGGTTCTGACCTTGGAGAAGGCTGGGGCTCAAATCCCCAGGAACAAGCCAGTCCCCCACCTCAAAGAGCAGGGACTGAGGGGTTTCTTTGCTGGGTCTTGGAGGGGAAAGGGACTGGGTCTCCCAGGAGGAGAGGGGGGGCCCCTTGAACACACAGCCGGGTCTGGCCAGGGCCTGGGCTCCAGGAGGGTAGGAGGCTGGGGGCGGGGGCTCCTGGGTCTGGGATAGGGCCGTGGGCCCTGCATGCTTTGTCCCTAGTAAGGGAGAGGAAATTGGGAGGCAGGTCAGCAGGGTCCCTGGGGGCAGGAAGCGATCATGCAGGCTTCTCTTGGGCAACAGTGAGAAGCTGAATCCGTCATGAAGAGGGAATCTCCCTCACCGGGTTAAACCCAGCTCCTGTGAACTGGGAAACTCAGGAACCCGGGTCCAGGTAGTCCTCAGCTCTGCCATCCTTAAGCCCCAGTCCCTAATTCCTTCAGACCCAGGGGTCCCGGCTCCCAGCCCCTTCTCTCTCAGACCCGGAAGTCTAGCCTGAGCCCTGTCCTCCCTCAGGGTCCTGACCCCAGCCCCCTTCTCCCTTAGACCCTGGAGGACCGCCCTCCAGACCCCTGTCCCCTTGATCCAAGCCTCCAAACCCCCTACTCCAAATTACCGGCTCCTAGCCCCCTCTTCCCCCTGAGCTAGGGGTCTGGGGCCTGAGCACCCCCACGTCCCCAGCCCACCCCACCTCAGGCCCCAGAACTGTGGAACTCGGCCGGGGCCTGCCCTCACACGCTTGGGCCCACAGTGGGTGGCATCTACACGGTGCTGCAGACGAAGGCGAAGGTGACAGGGGATGAATGGGGCGACAACTACTACCTGGTGGGGCCGTACACGGAGCAGGGCGTGAGGACCCAGGTGGAGCTGCTGGAGGCCCCCACCCCGGCCCTGAAGAGGACACTGGACTCCATGAACAGCAAGGGCTGCAAGGTGGGACATGGCGCGGCCCAGGGCAGAAGGGGACGGACAGCCTGCCATCAGGGTGGAAGCCACAAACAGAGAGGGGGTGCGGGGTGATACCTTGAGCTAGAGAGCGAGGCATGCGTGGACGCAGGAACGAGGCATGATAGGACACCCAGACAGATGCAGGGCCTGGAAGTGGTGGGTAGATCCCAGACACTGGCAAAGGCACAGGCAGATGGCGAGTATGAGACAGACCGAGACGCAGATCCCAGAGGCCCCGGGCCTCAGACCCAGGGAGATAAAGAGCGGGCAGAAGATGGCCATGCGGGGCCAGCCTGGCCAACACAGCAAAACCCCATCTCTACTGAAAATACAAAAATTAGCCAGGCGTGGTGGCGCGCACCTGTCATCCTAGCTACTCGGGAGGCTGAGGCAGGAGAATCACTTGAACCCGGGAGGCGCAGGTTGCACTGAGCTGCTCTTGAGCCATTGCACTCCAGCCTGGGCAACATGAGCAAGACTCCGTCTCAAAAAAGAAAGCCAGCCAGCCAGCCAGGCAGAGCCAGGGAGAGGGGGCCTGGGGTCAGGCAGGAGCAGCATTCTGGAGCCTAAAGTTCAAGTTCATCCTCTCCACTGGCTGCCCTTGTGTCCTTGGCTAATGGACGTGCTGACAGCATCTACCTTCTAGAGGTGCTGGGAGGATGAGAGAGTTAATAAGGATAAAGTGCTTAGTGGAGTTCTTGAAGTTAGCACAGTGTGTGGGCGGTGATTGTCTTTTTATTTTTTTTGAGATGGAGTCTTGCTCTGTTACCAGGCTGGAGTATAGTGGTGCAATCTTGGCTCACTGCAGCCTCCGCCTCCCAGGCCCAAGTGGTTCTCCTGCCTCAGCCTCCCGAGTAGCTGGGACTACAGGTGCCCACAGCCACACCTGGCAAATTTTTGTATTTTTAGTAGAGACGGGGTTTGACCATGTTGGCCAGGCTGGTCTCGAACTCTGAACTCATGAGTCTCCCAAAGTGCTGGGATTACAGGCGTGAGCCACCGCACCCAGCTGTGATTGTTATTATGATCTTCGTTCTTATTGTCACTATAAACGGCCAAGCTCGGAGAATGAGGGGGTCAGGCAGACGAAGGGAGAGGCGCGGATGGAGCCATGGGCAAGGAGTAACAGGGAGACCGACTAGGAACAGAAAAGAGGCCGCCAGGTGTTTCAGAAAGTCAGACCTAGAAGGAGGGAGAAGCATGGAGTATCGGGGAAGACGGGAGAAGTCAGCGGGTAGAGCCACAGGACAGAGTCTGAGATGGGCAGATCAGGGGATAGAGAGGAGCAGGAGTCCCAGGGCCGCAGGATGAAGACGGAAAGAGACACACTGCTGTCCCAGGAGAAAGCCACAGGCAGCAGGACTGAGGGACGGACAGGTCCGGGTCCAGGAGGCAGAGCCACTGCAGCTCCTTCACTCGTTTACAGCCTGTGGTTTGTGTTGGGGTCTGGAATCCATTCAGGCCCTACTGTGTCCCTAAGGGACCCAGGAACAGCTTGGTCCCTTCCTGAGGGCAGCTGCTTCCCACGTGCTGGGGGCCTAAGAACAGCGTCCCCACCCCCCCCACCCCGCGCCGCCAGCAAAAGGGCAGACGACAGCTGGGAGGAGGAGGGGCCTCAGAGCCAGGCCCGGGGCAGGAAAGAGCCAGGTCAGTGAGGAGGGAGGCTGCTTCTCCGCTGCGGTGGCAGCGGGCCCAGAACCAAGGCGACCATCTCGGGGAGGAACGCAGCCAACTGGAGAAATGAGGCAGAGGCAGAAGTGAGGCAGCAAGACTCAGAAGCATGGCCTGGGCTAGAAAAACGCAGCCCTGGGGCGTGGACGAGGATGGGCTATGTTAGCAATGTGTGGCTCAGGCCGGGCGCGGTGGCTCACACCTGGAATCCAGCACTTTGGGAGGCCGAGGCGGGCGGATCACCTGAGGTGGGAGTTCGAGACCTGCCTGGCCAACATGGAGAAACCCTGTCTCTACTAAAAATACAAAATTAGCCAGGCGTGGTGGCGGGTGCCTGTAATCCCAGCGACTCAGGAGGCTGAGGCAGGACAATGGCTTGAACCCGGGAGGTGGAGGTTGTGGTGAGCCAAGATCTCGTCACTCCAGCCTGGGCAACAAGAGTGAAACTCTGTCTCAAAAAAAAAAAAAAAAAGGAAAAAAGTAATGTGTGGCTGTGGGCTGGACGCAGTGGCTCATGCCTGTAATCCTGGCGTTTTGGGAGGCCAAGGTGGGAGGATAGCTTGAGCCCAGGAGTTTGTGACCAGCCTGGGTGGCATGATGAAACCCCGTCTCTACTAAAAATACAAAAAATTAGCCAGGCATGGTGGTGCATGCCTGTGATCCCAGCTACTCAGGAGGCTGAGATGGGAGGATCACCTGATCCTGGGAAGTCAAGGCTGTAGTGAGCCATGATGTTTTTTTGGAGGTGG